TACTTTCCTTGATGTACTGAATTGATTCAAAACGTTTACCTTTCATGGTCATACTGACTTTCAGGATGAGCCGAAAGTCACCTTCTGACTTTGGTGTCAGATCCAGTGAATAAAGTGGATGAGGATACATCACAGTGTTTTTATGGGCCTACTTTTCCATTGGATGACACTCAGCAGCAACATTCACTGTTTTTTTTTTTTTGGTACCAGGGATCGAACTCGGGACCTTGTGCTTGCGAGGCAGGTGCCGGAACCACTGAGCTAAATCCCTGGCCCTACACTGTATTTTTTTTAATCATACCTCTTAAAGACATGAAAGAGGACTCCCAGAACTGCTTCAGAATTGACAAGAACGATGGAATAAGTATTTTCAAACCAAGGGGTAATATTTTGAGGGGAGTTAATGGCAATGTGTCTTTTTTTTTTTTGGTACCAGGAAATGAACTCAGGACCTTGTGCTTGGGAGACAGGCGTGGTGCCACTGAGCTAAATCCCCAGCCCTGGCAATTCTTTTACTCTGATAATTTTTAAAATTTTACTTATCCTATATTTTGATTACATCTCATACATGTTATCTCTAGTCCTGGAAGGTTGGTATACAATTCCTGTTTGGAAGCTGAGGTAGAGTGAGGTTAAGGGACATGGCCAAGGGGACAGTTCTTAAGTGATAGGGAAGAATTTGGAACTCAGTCCTTTTTGACTGCAGAGTCTGTACTATTGTGCTATTTTGTTTGCATTTTTCTTTGTTATTCAGAAACAGTTAAAAAAGAAAAGTTTTCTGGAAAGAGGGCTTCTTGACAAGTAGAGCATGAGGCCTCTGAACATACTGTTTCCCAGTATCTCCACAGGGCCAGCACTCAGAAAATGCTTGTTGAATGACTGAAGGAGATAGGAATTGAGTGATAATAAAAATAGGTATAATCCTGTATCCTTTATAATTTGTTACAGATGCAACAGAGCACTTTTACATTGATTAGCCTGTTTGAGTCTTGTATCAGATCTGAAAGGTGATCAGGGAAAGTGGTATCTCTTTTCAGAATAAGGGTGATAGGCCTGGAGAAATTACATGACTTAAGATCACCGAACCAAGAACAGAGCCAAGGCCAAGCCTTCTGGTCCTGTAACTGGCACCCCTTATACTTTCACCCTTCTAGGAGCCCTCTGTGTATGGCAAACTAGGAGCTGAGATTTCTTATGGGAATGGAAATGGTCAGCAGTTGAAGAGCACTCCTTGGGAAATTAGTCCAGTCTGGCCAATAGTGATCATTTGGGCAGTGTTAATGAGTGGGACTTGGTGAGTTTAATGAGATGAATAGATGTTCTGTCATCCCTGGCCGCCTGTAACCAGGAGTCTCTGGACCAAGGAGGCCCTGGACACTGATCTGTATAATTGCCTGGCTTTCTCCAGAAATAGTCTCCACATCACAGATAGCTATTGTCCTTCTAAGCCACCCAGATGTCCCCAGGGTCATCTGAGGTTGCTGTGACTCTCATCTCCTTGCACGAGAATAAAGCCCGATATGTCCGCAGGTCAAGCAGAAGCACAGAATCTAGACAGCACTAGCACCAAAGACCAAGAATAACAGCTCCTCCTTTGAGATGAATATTTCAGGAGAACGGGGCCAGTGCTGGCCAGCATTTAAAGATGACTTGATCTGAGAGGCAGAATGGAATGGACAGAGGGGTGACAGGGCAGAATCAGAGGCATAGGACAGCCGTTGAGGCAGTGGTATCAGGTCTCAAGCAAGTTCTCTGGCCACTCCCCTTACTAACTGGTTGACCTTAAGTAAGTCACTTTGCTGATCCTTGGCTTTTTTTTTCAATCTATAAAATTGCACTAATGATGTCAAGAGAAAGGATATTGTCTTAGTCTTTTCACGCTGTCCTAACAAACCACTGGGTGGTTTATAAACAACAAACATTTTTCCATACAGTGGAAGATTATTCAGTTGAAAAGAATGAAATAATTTCATTTGCAGGAAACTAGAACCGGAAATCATCACTATCTTACTTTTCTTGTTGCTGAAACAAAATATCTGACACCTAAAGTTAAAGGAGGAAGGGTTTATTGTAGCTCACAGTTTGTAGAGTTGTAGAGTTCATAGTCCTGTAGCTCCAAGGCAGTGTGGCATGGCAGAGGGACATCCCAGAGGAGAAACAGTCCATGGCAAAGAAGGGTAGACAGAAGGCAACAAGGCGCAAGCACCAGGACTGCCTTTCCTCTCTCCCTTTTATCCCTTCCAGGCTACCTGCATTTTGGGTGGACGCCCTTAATCAGCATCACACACCTTAGATCCAGCCACCTCTGAAAAGCCCCTCCTGTGACTGCATGAGGCTTTAGGGGGACATCTAGACATAAGCCATAACAACCATGTTAAGTGAAATAAGCCAGACTCAAAACAGATATTGCATGATTTCTCTAATATGTGGAATCCTAAAAAATAAAAGATAGCAGGAAAGTGAAAGGGAGATTATTGTTAGGTAAAAAGACGGGACTAAAGGCAGGAGGGGATGTAAAAGGAAGAGTAGTAACAGGGAAAATGAATATGAGCAAAATATGCATGTATGAAAATATATTTTATACAGTTAAGACATTAATAAAAATAAAATTTAAAAAGACACTCATGCATTTAAAATCAAAGACAAAAACAATTCTGTCAAATAATTATCAACTTTTAAGTGGTACTTTCTCACCTAGCTAAGTGATCTGTTCTTTTGCCTCTTAAACTTAAATATTTTTGGGAATACATGAGCAATCTTTTATTGATTTTTATAGTATCAGAGATCAAGATTTAAACAAAAATGAAAAATGGAGAAATATAATTTTTTTTATAAAGGAGAAATTTCTTACATTTTTTAGAGGCTAAGGAGTTCAAAATAAAGGCACCACCAGTCAGCCTCTGGTGAAGGCCTGCTTACTGGTTTGGTGATAGCTGTCTTTTTGCTGTCCCCACATGGTGGAAAGGGCAGATCAGCCCTCTGGGGCCAATGAGGGCACTAAACCCATTCATGAAGACTTTGGCCCCTACTCACCTCCCAAAGGCCTCACTGCCCAATGCTTTTAAGTAACTCTGGGAACATCCAGAGTGGTTTAATAGAGAAAGAGCTGTTAGTGATGGAGAGACTTTCTGGAGAAAGCCAAGCAATTAGATCTTTGTCCAGGGCCTCTCTGGTCCAGAGGCATCTGGCCACTAGGCAGCCGGGCATGATTGACATCTATCTACTAATCTTATTAACATGTTCAGGACAGGGCCATACTTAATTCATGTCTCGCTGCCAGGTGGCTCCGAACCACTGGTGGTACATGCATGACTATTCTATTAGGCTGCATGGGACAGTTCCATCTGGTGGTAACCCTCCCCCCATGGGCCAGTCATGCATGTAAGCACTGGTGGTTCAAACCAGCAGAAATTCGTTAAACTTGTCAACCCCCCGTCACATTGAGGATTAGGTTTCGACATAGAGTTTGAGGAAGAGAGTGAACATATACCATAGCAGACATAGCTGGCTTTGTTCACAGAAGTCTTAATACAAATATGAGGAATTGTAGTAGAAATGGAGAAGGCAAGGACCAAAGAGAGGGTGTGTGGCTGACCTGGAAATCAATACCCAAGGCATATGTATTCATACACAGTTTTGCCCCACAGGTTTGTTCTTGTAGTCATACAGACCTGAGTTCTAGTTCTGGCTTTGCTCTGTTAACCAATTACTTTATTACCTCTTTGAGCCTCTCTTGAGTTTCCCTATCTAGAATACCTCCTCACAAACTGTTGTGAGGAATAAATGGGGTGAAATATGTAAAGCCTCGGACATAGAATTAGCACTCAGAATTAGAGACTTTTTTTTTACTAGGATGGCTCATTGGGGTTTCATTTACCCAGAGTTTAGGGTTGGTGGTTCCTTTTAGGGCCTCTGCTTTTGCAAAGCTCCCATCACTTTTTTTTTTTTTTTAAACATGTTTAGGCTTGGCTCTAAAACGTTTCTGTTTGAACTTTTCAACTGAGAAATAGTTTTTGCCAAATTTCTTTGGTACTTACTAGCCTGGAGAAGCCAGCGCATCCTTTTGAGATGTAAATTGCATTTCAGAGCCTGGTGGGTTTTAATTCGCTTAAGGCTGCAGCTTTTATGCAGCCATTGTTTCTCTCCCAGGTAAAGGTAAACACTTTTACCAGAGTAGCAGCCCCATTTCTTCTTTGTTTTTTTTTTTTTTTTTTGGTACCAGGATCGAACCTCCGGTCTTTGCGCTTGCACAGCAGGCGGCGAAACCACTGAGCTAAATCCCCGGCCCGGCCCAGCCCAGCCCCATTTTTTCTGATACTGTGTCCTCTTCCAACTCCTGAGAGGGGTGCTGTGGGGGGACTGTCTTGTACTAACCTAAAAGAAAAAATAGAATATAAAAATCCTGGGCCTAGAGGATCTTGGGGTAGTCTTGGCTATGCCGTTGAGTGAGTTAACTGTGACATCCTGGCCAAGTCCCTTTTTCTCTCTTCACCAGAGTGAAAGCATATAAACTTTGTATTTACCCAAGGTCCCTGCTAATCTGACCTTGGAGAAGTCTCTAGAAATGCACCTGGTTTTCTCTCTTCGTTCCCCATCATTACCACCAAGAACAGTTCTGCCACCCACCTCTCAGTTCATGGCTAAGCCCAGGCTCTGGAACTGCAGATACCTTGCTCTCTTTTACATCTGGTCTGTGAGGCAGGTTGGGCCAGGGAAGAAAATAGCCTATCAAGTTAAGCACCTTCTGCCGAATAGGATATCAGTATTTTTTAGGGTTCCTATTCTAAAGTAGGAGGAAGAAAAATATAGAGTGGAGGAGGGTTTTGAGTTGAGGGGTGGTTGCTGTGAACGTGGGGTTTTGAGTCAGAGAATAGAAGAAAGGTGCCTGGGACCTCTGTGTGTGTTGTCCCTGTCCCCCGTCTCTGCGCCCCCCCGCCCCCAGTCCCGCCATTTAAGGAAAGCCTGCCAGCCCCTTCTCATCATTTCCTGGCAGAATATCATCACGTTCTCCTAACATTTATTAAACACTTTGTCAAGTCTGCCTTCTACATTACAGGACAAAGTAAGAGTACAAATGGACACCCTGCACCATATGTCTAAATACTTGAAGGCTGTAAGCAAAGCTCACAAATTGAGATAGTTATAATAACTAGAAGAAACATGTCTATATTTAGAATTCTTGAACTCTTAGGATTTCTGTACCTCAACTCGCCAGTTCAAGGAGACATAGTGTGGATCCCACTTCCTTTTCATTTCCTGTTCCTAACTCCATTTCTCACTTTGAAATGCATATGGGTAGTCATTCAAGTTTTACCACACCCCCACAGATGATTGTCCTTTTGGGGTTAGGGCATCTATACAGCAGCAGCACAATCCTCCAAAGGATTGTGTGGGTCTTAAAAGTGGGTTTGTTATTGGCCACTCAGGTCCACATGCTCAGGTCTGTTTGTTTCCTGCTGACCAAACCAAAGGTGGCTAACTCCAAGGAGATAGAAGGGCCTTGTTTCGCATCAAATCACTATCTCACTAGATATAGGTGTTTGAACCTTTTATAGCAAGGACCAGAGGGAAGGGGGAATACAGTGAGACAATAGACTTCTCTGTGTTTCTTTTATCTCTCCTGGACCCTGACTTCTTGGTGCCAGCACGTGCATATTCTGTCTGTTCATCTGGGCTGAGGAGGAGAGAGAACGGCATTTATGCCCTAGGTCTAAGTTTGGAGAAGCCACTTGTGTCTAAAGGAAGCAATTCTAACTTTTTAAAGTTCCATTACTATGCAGGTTGCAGACTGGGGGCTGGTTAGGTGGGTGCCTAAGAGCATGTTCCAGGTGGACTTTTCTCCTTAGCCTGGCAGATTCCTCACCTAGAAGATACATTTCCTGAGTTTTTTGTTGTTTTTTTTTCCTACAGATTAGCAAACAGACCTTCATGTGATAGGGCTCCTGGCTGATTCTCTTTGGCATAATACAAAATGTGCTCTAGTTTGACCTTGACCTTCATCCATAATGGGCCCACGAGTGACAGTGTTAACAGAATGAGAAGCACTATGGTCAGAATAATTAATCTTGTAAGGACCTAACAGTTTGCAAAGTTCTTTTATGTACATTTTCCCAGACGCCAGGTAATGAGATAAAAAGACTGAGTAGGACCAAACCTGAAAGACTACTCAACAGCAAAAAGTGAGTGCTAATCCCTTCACACTACCAAGCTGAGGTGCTCAGCAAATGCTTCCTGCTCAGTGGTGGTAGAGGCCCCTGGCAGAGGTCTGAGGGAACTCAAAACTGTCGTGTCCCTGCTAGGGCAGTGGCAGAGCCAGCAGTCATCAGCAGGTCTCTGAACCATCATCACTCCGTCTCTTCCGTCTCAGTCCACAGCACAGACCTGGTTGGCTCCCATCAGCCAAATCAACTGGCATCTCTGGCATCAGCTCTGAACAGAACCAGTCATCTGTGTTCATACAGGCACCCACAAACTTTTTGTATATACTGGTAAATGTATAAGGAATTAATCCTTGAGTCACTTGTCATCCAGGTAGAGGGACTTGTCAGAACTGTGAAGAATGGGGAGTCTGAGGAAACTAACATTGCATTGAGCATTTCCTGCTGTGTATGGACAGTGTTAGATGTTTTTATGGTTTGTCTCCTGTGTGTCCTTTACTGGTTTATAAATGCTAATTATTGGGTCTAAAGATAAATTGAGTAACAGGTGTCTGTCAGTTCCAAGTCCCAAAGCCGATACCAGGCCCTTTATCGGTAGCAATATTACCCTTCAGTCTCCTTGCTTTAGAATGTTCCATGCCTGTCCCCAGTATGTCCATTGAGCTTAATGCAAACCCAGCTGTAGGAACTGTCAGAATCCCAAATCTCTGGTACAGCCTGTGAGTTCCTTGTAAACAGTGCCACCTGCTGATCAGAACATGCCAATTTCCAGTCTGGGAGCATCTGGGAGAAAAAAAAAGAGGTTTCTATCCTGGTGGAACAAAAGCTTAACAGATTTCCTTCCCCAACTTACACTCTTCTCCACTGAATTTACTGAAAAGATGACCTCTCTAGCCCATTTTAGGTAAATGAGCTGTCAGGGTGATGAGTTTCTTTATATGCTAGGGGGCTTTAGCACCTTGTGAAATGGCTCTAGATTGAGATTGGAGTTTCAACAACCCATGCACATGAGCATAAGACTGGGACAAGGAGTACAAAGGCCAAGGCTTAACTGTATACCTTTTCTAATGAAGGTGAGCCTTCTCTTTCTCTTTGAAGCTTGTGCCCAGCTGTAACCCCTGGGGTAAGGGCTGGGGGATCTTCGGGGTAAAAGTCATTGCCACAGTGTAGAAAACAAAAGCCTAGCTGAAAATTCATCTCTAAGACACGGAACAAAATTTTGACTGTGTAATTAAAAATGATAATCACTAAAAATAATTTTCAGGGCCAGGGATTTAGCTCGGTGGTTTCACCGCCTGCTGTGCAAGCACAAGGGCCCAAGTTTGATCCCCGGTACCAAAAAAATAATAATAACTTTCAGATAAATATGCCATCATGCTAAGATATTTAAATTGGCTTTAACTTGGGAAGCAGAGTGATGAAGCTGAGGGAAATGGCTTTAGAAACCAATTGACCTGTGTTTGAATGTCTGTTACTGGTAAGTTAATGATCTTGACTAGAGCCTCAAATTTCTGTAAAAAATAATGACAATATTCACTCTTGGGGTCTGAGGATTATTCTCTATATCATATGCCACATTTTGTTCACAGTGAGTGCCAAGACTTAAATACTTTTTTCAAAACAACGGTACCAATAAAGACAGTCATAGCTTTGTCCATGTCTGTATCAGACTAAGCAATTTTTGTAATATACTGTTATTCTGGAACAAGCATTATAGAACTTGAGTTACCATGTGTCCTCTGTTATAGTTTTACACTGAAGGAACAGAAAGAACATGTAGAAAAATCTTGAAATCTAGATTCTAAATAGGGGTAACGTTTGAGACGAGTGTTAAAGATGTTGTGGGCTTAAAAGAATTAAGTCAAGCAGACTAGACAGTCCCATTCACTAGCTATTATTCACCAGTATTGTGAACTCTCAGAATGTTAGATTCTTCCTATGTACAAATATGTGGATCTAGTTATGTGAATACCAAATAAAGGAACATACATAAAGATAAAGCATCTAGCATGAAATAGCCAGTAAGTGGCAAGCCTTGGTAATACAACAAGAAAACAAGATGTGGAAACAGGAGGCTAGATGTTGTAAGGGTGGCAGGGTGTAGGAAGGCAAAGAACAATCCAGTCAGGAGTGGATCATGAGCAGCCCTTGTGCCCATCCTGGGGACCTAGACTCACAGTGACATTTTGTCCTCAGGTGGCTACCATGTCCTTGAAGATCCAGACGAGCAATGTAACCAACAAGAATGATCCCAAATCCATCAATTCTCGAGTCTTCATTGGAAACCTAAACACAGCTGTGGTGAAGAAATCAGATGTGGAGACCATCTTTTCCAAATATGGCCGTGTGGCCGGCTGTTCTGTGCACAAAGGCTATGCCTTTGTTCAGTACTCCAACGAGCGCCATGCCCGGGCAGCTGTGGTAGGAGAGAATGGGCGTGTGCTGGCCGGGCAGACCCTGGGTAAGTTAACCCTCTCTCAAAAGGGCTCTCCTAACATCCTACAAAGTAGCTGGTGTCCTTTATTCTCTTGTTCTCCTAGTAGCCTCCTTCTTTAGCCCCACCACCACTTCCACTCCTCTGAAATGTTATAACTAAAGTAGTTATAGGTGGTATTTGTTGTAAATTAAGTAGTTACAAAGCCCCTGGAAAATGCTTCTATCCTGTCCCTGCTTTCTCACTACTTCTTAATAACAAGCTTTTTGGTTCTATTTAAAAGGTAGGTTCCCCAGAGAAAGGGAACATAGTGGACTGTTATCCCAGCCTATAGTTTACTCAGGTTGGAACCTTTTCTGAGAGCCAGGAGAGAGCTAAGAACACAAGAACAAAGTAGGGCAGATCCCCTTGGCCTTGGTGGTACATGCATGTGATGTGACTATGCTGTTGGTCTGCCTTGGAATATGTACTCATTGTTGTGTACATATTTCTGTATATGCATAAAAGGTGACATCTGTATATAATGTATTCGTGAATACAGAATGTATAGATGTGACAATATGTGGGAACACCCTTATATGTAAATGTGTGTGATGTACATAGTATGTGTGGTTGGTTTGGGAATGTGCGTGCATGTGTCTGAATACATATGGAATATATAAAGAGGCATATCCATGTGATATCTGGGTATGAGTCTGATTTTTGAAGACTTAACTATATGAAGGCCTTTGTCTACTGCCTCAGTACCATGTATATGTCATACAAACACATGAATTACTGTGTGTGTGTGCGCACAGTGGTGATATGAGCACAGGCTCACTGCCATCATGCCAGGATTCTGACTGTCCCTCTTCACTCCCCACAGACATCAACATGGCTGGTGAGCCCAAGCCCAACAGACCCAAGGGGCTAAAGAGAGCAGCATCTGCCATATACAGGTGGGGTACTCTGTCTGTCTGTCTGTCTTGGTAGGATGGGGTCCTCTTTCCACAGAGGGAGTAATTGCTGGTAGTGACTGTGCTGAGCCTAGAAGTTGGAGAGGCATTTGAAGTTGAGGGCCTATGGAAAATGGGCTGAGTGGCCAGCCACCCCTAAGCTCCAGCCCTCTCCCCTTTGTTTCCCTAGTGGCTACAGCTTTGACTGTGATTACTACCGGGATGACTTCTACGACAGGTGTGCAGGGGAGGGGCGTACCCAGGCATGAAACAGCCAAGCTGGAAGGGTCCTGAGAGATTGCTGGTGCAGCCCACTAAGTCCTCCAGTTGGGAACTGAAGCCCAGAAGTATGGATAGGCATTTGCCCAAGGTTGCTCCACAAATGACTGGCAGAGCTGGGACTAGGGTCCAGTTCTGCAGGTGTCCAGAGTTCCCATCATCACACCACCTTGCCTTATAGTCTGAGTCTGACTTTTCCTTCTGATGAAACACCAGGGGACTGTACAGCCAAGGAACACATAAATGTAGCCAGCTAGAAGACAAAACAGTACAGTGCCAGTTGCAGGGAGTTTGATGAATCCTCATACTTTGCCTTTTCAGTCACACACACACACAC